TCTGATGGTAGCTTTGTTGTTGACACTGAACCGATTTCCTCCCATGCCATTTTAAAGATACAAGAATTCATGTTAATAGCTAATACAGGGTCTGTATATTAAATACAAACATATGAATATTTTCATACCAATAGGCAACAACTTTGGGATGATGATCCTTTATCTCATGCAAGGTGCCGACCTTGATCCGTTGTTATATACCCAAAACTTGTAACACCGTCCCCAATTATATTTACTTTTATGTAAATCATGTATTGAACCTTACGAAATGGTTAATGAATTTACGAGGTTGTAAATTTTGTTATTACTTTTGCGAGCATAGTAAATTGCATGTGGGGCCCACATCGGGAGCGGGGACCACCCGATATTTCTAAGACCCGCATATTATATTCATCTTGGTCTAAATAAGGTGTATATGGTGGTGGATATTTTAGTTGGGCCATAATAAAGGCATAGGGTAGACCGGTTGGTCAAACAAGGCCCAATCACCGGTATTGGTAATTTATCAAATCACAGACCGAAATGAATTTCAGAGACTTCTAAATTAAAGTTGGGGAATGTATATCATTCTAAAGGCCCATGGTGATTGAGGACGTGTGATACATTTTATTTGGCCCGATAAAAATAAAATATAAGTAAAACAGTTCGAGAAATACAACTTTCAGGACCGATTGTACACATCGGGACATAATGGGATGACTTCCCACATGAGTGGGAGGCCACCCCACGTTTGCGTGTGATGAATTAGACAAGTAATGTGCTGGTTGACTTGGAAGGAAAGGAGGTGAGGTGACGAGCATCAAAGGTTCACCCAATGGACCCCTCCTTCCTCACTCATTACCCATTTGAGACAAAAAAGACTATGTGCAATCCATCCCCCTATCATTTCGACCATACACCCTCCAAGCAACAGAAATAATCTCTGCAACTTCGTTCCTCCATCGCCAAGCGAGCTCAAGAAGACAAGATCCAAGGTGGAAGTTGTAAGAAAGGAAATGTGAGAAAAAAGTGTGGTGATTAAGGTAATGACCTTATATTAACTTTTCTTCTACTCTTTAACTACCATATGGATTATACATCATATGAAGGACCCCTAGGATGACTCTACATATTTAGAAATGTAGAATGATGGGTTGAAAGGTAGTTCTAAGTCCAAGAACGGACTTAGAAGCCAAAGTGACCGATTCGCCGGAAAAGAACCTTTTAGAGGTTATTTGTATCGATATGGGTTTTGTAATGATAAAACCTTGTTAGGAAGTTTTATAAGGAGTTCCTATAGTTTTAACGGAGTTGAAAGAGTCACCGGAGTGTTCGCCGGAGTTTGTCAAAGTACGCTGGAGCTTCGCCGGAGTCCAACCGGGAAGGATAGAACTTCTTAAAGCTCATTCAAGGTGTGTGGATGGCTTAATGTCTTGTAACTATTGGGTTAAGTATGAGATTACCTAAGTAAATTCTATATGTGTTCATAATGATGTTTAAAATGGTTTAAGCATGTGATTAGCCAAGATGATTAGGCTTATATGAGATGAACCATAATGATTATGCATGAAAAATGATATGAAAATGGTATAAAAACATGTGTGATGTTTTGGATGGCCAAAATGGCAAATATTGATTGTTTAAGACTTAATTCATGTTTAAGTTAAGTTTCAGATCAATCAGAGTTGGTTCGGGCGGTCAGCGGGCCGTTGACTGCAAAGAAGAAAGTGAACCGGTGCCGGTTTAGGCTATAACTGGCACCTGTTTGAGTACGGGGCAGCCAAATTAATTAAATTAAACATGAACTGGTGCCAGTTTGGGATATAACCGGCGCCGGTTTGGTGTTGTTTTGTCCCGAATGTTGATTTTTGTGCATGGTTTTGCATGGATTGTCATGCTTAGGCTATAAGACTTGGTTTAGTCTTTATAAATGATTATGATATAGACCCTGTCTATGTTTGTTAAGCGGTAGATCATAGAAATGAACGTAAGATGGTGGAGAACCTAGGGACGATGGTAGTGCCCTCAAAACTCGGTAGATAAACAGTGGAGACCCAAGGACGATGGTACTGTCCTCAAACCTCAGTATATAAACGGTGGAGACCCAGGGACGACAGTACTGTCCTCAAACCTCAAATGTATAAACGGTGGAGACCCAAGGACGACGATACTGTCCTCAAACCTCGGTATATAAATGGTGGAGACCCAGGGACGACGGTACTGACCTCAAAACTCATATGTATAAATGTTAGAGAATCCAAGGACGATGGTACTGTCCTCAAACTCGTATGTATAAATTGATTTGGACCAGGAGGAGTCCTATACACTCATAGGATATGGGTGGGTTGGGATTTAAGTCAAGGATATTGACTACTATGATTTTTCCCAAATAAACTATGACCTACGGGTCGTGTATTTCCAAGTGTGTAGATATACTGATATGTATTTTATAACTTGGGGGAAAGTACTATACGTGTATGTATCACCCTATGTTTGGGTCTTATACTTGAAACGTTAGTTATGCTACATTTAGCTTGCTACTCGCTCGGTACATGTGCTGACCCCAAAATATGACTAATTACTGTCATGTTTTGGCAGTACCAGACTTCAAACATGGCAATATTTTCAAAACCGGAGGTGCTGGTTTATGACCTGCCATTCCAAATTATTTTCTTATCTTTGCAATATATTATACCATAAATCTCACCTTATGGTCACATAATGTTTTGCAAAGATAAGAAAATAACTTGGAATAACAGGTCATCAACCGGTTAGGGACCATTGAATGAAGAGATATGGTGCAAAGGTTGGATTATTCCTGAACAATCAAAAGGTGAGACTATTGTAGGAAGACCGCTAAAAGATTGGATTATTACTATTGTAGGAAGACCGCTAAAAGGTTGGACTATTGTAGGATAATTTATTAGTTTCCATTTTCCCTTCTAAAATTTTCAAAATATGAACTTAATAAATTTTTTACTAATAGAAAATAAAAAATATTAATGATCAAATTTGTGCATTGACAAACGTGAAATGTTAACTGTTGCAATTAAAAGGGAACGAAGGAAGTATGTTTTACTCCTATTTAATTAATTTAATTATTCTCATTTAATACATCGAAGTAATGTGTGTTTCAGTGAAAGTTCGTTGGAAAAAGATGGGAATGACCGTCTGAACTCTGAAGTCATCACTGACGAATATAATTAGTCATCGATGTACATTTTTATTTCACTATTTCTCCTTAATCATCTTAAATTAAAATTGGCATTTACAACAAGCCACCTACCACGCAATCATGTTCGAGAAATTCTCGATTGACAAAAATAAAGTTATTCAAAAGCAATATTAAAGTTATTCAAAAGCAATATAGGATAAATTTAGTCAAATCAATAAATAATTTTAGGAGTACGCATATATACGAGTATACGACTAATGATATACGAGTAGAAAATATACGGGAATAGTAATACTTCTCAAAAATCAAAGTCTTAGCTTGACTTTTGAAAATTAGAATCTAAAATTCCAAATTTCATAAAACCAGACAATGAGGTAAAATTTTCTTTACAATTACATAATTTGTGTAGAAATAATACGAGCCATAAAATAAAGGGAAAACTGTCAATTACGCCCTCCTACTATGCGCGATCCGTCAATGGAGTCCCCGTACTTTGGAAACCCTCAATTGAACCCGCCAACAATGAAAATCCCGTCAATTAGGTCTACATAACCGGATGCTTCCCGATCAGCCCGTTGCTCGCTCATGTGGCGCTGACGTGGACATCGTACATTGAGGGTTCCATTGCTGACATGGATTAAAAATGTTCACATATACCTGATTCTTCAGGCCAGTCACGGCACCGTAAGTACGCCAGTCAAAATCGGCGGGGAGATTTACGGTTGGAAGGATTTCGGCCTTCTGTGCATCCGTGGGGAGCTTAAGCTTGTTGGACCGTCGTTTGCTGATCCCGAGGTACGTCCTGCGGAACTCCTTGGGAGGGAGATCCGAGAATTTTGTGACGCCTTGGACGGCGGAGGGATCTATCGGCTGGTGGCGCTGAGCGCGGCGCAAGATAGCACTGAAGACGGAGAATCTGTAGTCGTGCTCCTCCTGGGTAGCGTAGCTTTTGGCGAACTTGGTCTTCAAGAGCGAAAAGTGATGATCGGCGTTGAGCAGGTCCTTGGCGGCGATAACAACCACGCCGATTTATTTGGGAATGGAGATGTGAATTTTTTAAATCCATGTCAGCAATGGAACCCTCAATGTACGATGTTCACGTCAGCGCCACATGAGCGAGCAACGAGCTAACCGGGAAGCCTCCTGTTATGTAGACCAGTGGATCAGTTTGGTAGTGGATCAGTGGCCTCATTTACATTTGATAATACATTGAGTTACATCTTTTTATGAGCGAATTACATCTTTTTATAAGCAAGTTACATCTTTTTATAAGCAAGTTACATCTTTTTATAAGCAAGTTACATCTTTTTAAAAGCGAGTTACATATATATAAACACGAGTTGCATTTGACATGCTTGAACGCGACTTACATGTATTTACACGTAAAGTTACATATTTTTACACGTAAAGTTACATATTTATACACGCGAGTTACATATTTATACACACGAGTTGCATGTGACCTGTCTGAATGCGAGTTACATATTTTTTTACGTAAAGTTACATATTGTTACACGTAGAGATACATATTTATACACACGAGTTGCATTTGACTTGATTGAAGAGTTACATATTTTAACACTTAAAGTTACATATTTTACACACAAATGTTAATATGTTAAAATTACATAGGCAATATTGGTCTCATTTGAAAGATCATGAAAAATAAAAAATGTTGATATAAATTTTATAAAAATCAGATCACAAATAAAAAAGTTATTACCATTTTTTAAAAACAAAAGAAAAAAAAAAGTTGTCCCGGTATACGGTGCTCACCGTATACCGGTTGCACGGTATACACCGTATACCGGTTGCACGGTATACGCACTCGAGGAAAACGAAAGAGGGCATCCACAAATCTATAAATAACGCTACGAGAAGGGAAGATTAACTCCAAGTCTGAATTCCCATTTCTCTGCTAAATTTGAGAGAATATACAGTTGCAGTTCTCACCGGAAAAGATGGTGCTTAAGGTCTACGGCGTCGTGTTCTCACCGCCAGTGTTGAAAGTTATTGCCTGTCTCAAAGAGAAGGAGCTCGATTATGAGTTTGTTTCTCTTGATTTTCAGGCTGGAGAACTCAAAAAACAACCTTTCCTTAGCCTTAATGTGAGTCAAACTGTACTTAATAATTACATGCTCCGTATAATATTTTCCAAACATTGATTAGTTTGTATTTATTGGTATTATTAGATTAACAGTATATATGCTAACTCATGTCCGTTTCGGTTAATTGTCATTGCAGCCTTTTGGTAAAATGCCAGTCATTCAGGATGGAGATTTTACCCTCTTTGGTAATGTTATTTTACTTATTACTACGTCCAATATTTTCCAAACATTGATTAGTTTGTATTTATTGGTATTATTAGATTAACAGTATATATGCTAACTCATGTTACTACTTCCGTCCCGAAGATATTTAGTTTATTAATTTTTCTTGATTAATGATGATATTCATTGGATAAAGATATTAATTAAGTAGTACTACCGTAATATATTGTACTAGCTCCGTCCCAATTTAGTCAATCAAACTTGACTTTTGAAGTCAATGGTTTTTAACTTTGATTGAGTATATATTTATATAGATAAAATATTGATAATAAGAAAATGATATGAAAATATTCGTTGTTGAAAATACAATAATAAAAGTATAAAACTATTAAACTTTGCATAAATATATTAGTTAAAACTTAAAACAATTGGTCAAATTTTATCATCTTTGACTGGAATAATCAAAGATGGTTAACTAAATTGGGAAGGAAACAATATATGATTTATAAATTTTATACTTTTATAAAAATATTTTGAATAAGAAACATTTTAATATATAGGATTTTATTTTCGTATTGAAATGGCTTGCATATGCTTTAGTCCATAAAAATATGGTAAACTTTGTTTTAGATTCTTGCAAAATATATTTTTTATTCGTCACTGTAATATGCATTATTTTGTTTTTAGTACATCTCTGATTCCGAAAATGCTCTACTTAGAAAAAAGTTATTGTCAGTTGTATAAATCTACTATGATATTTAAATTTGTCCTTTTATAAGTTTTTTAGACTAATATGAGAGTTAAAACAATGTAAAATTTAGTGATATGAAAAATCTTCTAAAAATAAAATTATATACTTTTTGAATAACATGACAAAGAATGAGAGGAAATCTACTAGTTGTGGTTATTTTAAGATCAAGCAGGAGTTGTTCTCTTCAGTAGACTAAAAGAAAATCAACATAAATTTCAGAGACGAAAAAACAAAATAATAATTTTGTAGGGATGTGAAACAAAATATACTATATTTCCAGGTAGTAAAAACATATTTAAATCTATTCAAAATAATTTTGTATTAATGATATCATTATTCATAGTTGATTACCATTGATAAAAAAAGTCAATTTGACAAACTTTTTTTAGAATGAGAGAGTACAATAATTTTCAAAAGAACTTACTACTCCGTATTACTACTGTTAATTGTTGGTGTTGTTGTTTCTATGAAGGCCCGAAAGACTCAATGGAAAGAAATCTTTGATGTATACTTCAAATTTTATTTTTTTATTGAAAGTTATTCCACAAATGACCAAACAATTGACATTTTTATCCTATACTGTCATCAATAATGCAAATTATTGAGAAAATTGACTCTAAATAGAAGTAAAAAATGCAAAAACAAAAAATAAGACTATAGTGTTTGTATTTCCTAAATAGGAATAAAATATAATATCTCTTTCTATTTTACAGTTACAATAATTTAACAAGAAAAATATATTTTATTTATAATAAAAACAATAAAAAGTATTTGTATTTATAATAAAATCGTAACTGAGCCTAATTAACAGAATTCCAAAAAGAGTATCCCATTATCACATCATTTAATCAATACGGAAGAGTTTGTATTTTATGTAGAAAAATACTATTAGACCAGATCAGATCAAATCAGCTAGATCAGATCAGACTTAGATAGTTATAAAATAAACATAAAATAAACATTTATGAAACCAGGTCAGTTCGGACCAGACCATACATGACCAGAAAATTTCAGTCCAAATAAAAACATTTTAAGTCACATATAAAGCTCTATTTCATATTTTCATGTTGGCCAATACAAATGTAAACTCGATCGCAAATATGACCTTGAATTACTCTTCCTATATATAACGTTGGAACAATTAAAGTAGAAGTATAGAACCTCCATCAAGTGTTACGTTAACTAATGAATAGATCATTGAATAAAATTTTCTATATTAATATATTAAGATTAGTATGCTTTGAAATACATTTTATTTTGCAGATAGTGATTATATTGATGGAAGTCCCGTTATGAGCTTATTAATAATCATGTTTAATTTATCTCATCTTATAGAGTCTAGAGCAATCACTCAATATATTGCGCACACATATGTTAGTGGGAGTCAATTGGTCCCAAAAGATCATAAAGCAATGGCAACCATGTCAGTGTGGATGGAGGTCGAGGCTCACGAATTTGATGCGGTAGCTTACAAGCTGAATTTTGAGCTCATCGTAAAGCCCATGCTTGGCAAGGTGACCGATGATGAAGCGGCAACAAAACACGAGGAGGCGCTCGCCAAGGTTCTTGACGTGTACGAGAAACGACTCCAGGTGTCAAAATTCTTGGCCGGTGATTGCTTCACATTGGTTGATCTTCACCATACACCTCTCGTAAATTACCTCATGGCTTCTAAATGCAAAGCTCTTTTCGAAGCACGTCCACATGTTGATGCGTGGGTTCGTAATATCTTGACCAGGCCTGCTTGGTTAAAGGTTCAAGAGCTGATCAAGCAGACCAGCGTCCCCGCTTCTTAATTCAATCATATGAGTGTGTGAGTTATATCTGAGAACTTCATCGTTTGTCTTGAGTTATGAATGCTTCATCTTTTCATAATTATTTATGTTGTGTTGTACTTTTGATCGCATTTGGTTTCTATCTGAGAGTTACGGTTGCCTTTTACTATATGCAATAATGTTGCGGAAGTTTTATTTATAAAATTGTCCAATGTCATGTACTTTCATCATATTTATATATGAGTTGCTTGCTCTACTCTTGGTTTCACATGTTAACAAGATTCTTGTTCCAAATTTAGTTTTTCTATTTTTCGTTTTTTGGGGAAAATGAAATTTTTGTAGGATCGATGCATCCCTTTTCTCATTTTCAGTGTCCACCATTTATTGGGCTTACTTACATAGTTACATTGGGCTCGCTTAACTATAGAGTTCTATGATTAAATAGCAGTCATATTTTCTTAAAATCAATTGGTGATAAGGAAGTGAACACACTCTATTTAACACATAACTCTGTAGTAATTTAGTAAAGATAAATTCTTGTGAGGCACCCCCACAATTCATTACGGCACATCAGAGCCTCACTATTGAGCGGTTGATAGACATGAGAGACAACATCACATCGTGGTGTCAACAGGCCAGTCCTAATCAAAGGATTAAACCTTAAATCAAAGGATGTTATTGTTACCCATAAAATTAACAATTTTATTAACAAAAAAGAGATGTATAAGTAAGAAGTTAATATGAAAAAAATCATAAAATGAAGTGGAAAACAAGAAATATGAGAAATTTAAACAAAGGCAGTCCTAAATGCATCCAAGTGACCATCCTTAGAATCTCAATCATCTCATTCAAGATGAGATATTTAACGGATAAAACCATATTACTACATAAGTGGTACATACATAATAATATTTAAATGGTGTAAGTAGTTTTTTTAGCTGAACATCGTATTTGTTAATGTTAAATGTCAGCATCCTTTACTGGGATGAGTTTTGAACTTATCGCCTTCTCCTTGAATTGAGAGTATCGCAATGATATCCTCGAATCACAATATGCTCGACAAATGATGTAAATAGTTAAAGTATTTAAATGGTGTAAGTAGTTTTCTTTTAGTTGAACAACATACTTGTTAATGGTAAATGTCAGCATCCTTTACTGGGATGAGTTTTGAACATATCGTCTTCTCCTTGAATTGAGAGTATCACAATGATATCCTCGAATCACAATATGCTCGACAAATGGTGTAAATAGTTAAAGTTTACATATTTAACACATTCACTTAAAAGATCAATTTGACCACATACAATAAATTCATATATTATAAAATTCGAGTACGCATGCAACAACATAGGTCCCACAAATAAACCTCGAGGGATACATGGAATATGTAGTAATAGGAGATAATTTCCTAATTAAGAGTAAAACTTTTGTAAGTGCAACAATAGGAGTCCAATGTTCGTAAGAGTAAAGAGAGGTGAGTTGACAAAATTATCCTTAATGAACAAATTAGTCTATTTATTAATAATACAAAATAAAATAGTAAAAGAAAATGTGAGAGGCCAACAGTCCCAACAGATTTTGATCCTTTCAAGAAGACCACATAGATCTTTGGTGCTGGCTCCATTGCCACCCCTGGCGCCAAAACCACCAATACCAGCGGCCACCTCCGCCACCGCGGCCACCACCAACCGCTCCATCTGCGACCTCATTGGGCCTTGAATTGCCACCAGCCACCGCCATTTCCGGCATCATCGCCTCCACATCCGACGATGACGCCGCCTCATCCAACATCATTGTGTTGTCTCATTTGCGTTAACGGTGTGACCTCTGGTGCCTCCTCATCCACTGACCTAACCTCTATATATCTCAAATCTGATCTCAGACCTGTCTACCATTCAAGTATCATCTTGCAGTTTGAGTGTCATCTTAATGACATTATTGCATTCTTGACAGAAATAAGATGACATTTTCAAATTAAAAAACATGGCACTAATGTTTTACCAAATGAGAAGTATTGTCATCTTTAGTGCCATAAAAATGACATTCATTCTCAAAGCTAAGTGATATTTTTCAAATTCAAAGTAGTACATTGTAAAGGTAATCCCATTAAAATAATTTTGAAATCAATTTTCAATAGATTTTATTTAATGGGAAAAATTATAAAAATTATGTCAATTTGAAATTAAAAAATATTAAAAGTAAACCAATACATATAAAAATAAATAAAAAATTCTCGAAATAAAAAAGAAACTACAAATTTCGCAAATAACAAAAGCATGGGTGGTAGAAGAGGATGAAGGAGAAGGAGGAGGAGGAGCTTCATCGTCCATTCCTGGTCGTCATTTACTGATGGTCGCTCAACTCGCCGCTCACTCTGCTCATTGTTGTTCGCCACTCACTGTCTCTCGCCGCTCACCTCTAAAACTCACCGGAGATGAAGGAAATCAAGATCGACACTCTATAATTGAAGTTATTATATAAAAGAAGAGAAGAAAATGGAGGTTTAAAGCCTGAATTTGTGAGAGGGGAGATAGGAGAGGAGAAGGGAAGAGAAGAGGTGGAGAAAAAAGAAAGTCATGATGCAGACACGATGAGGAAGGGGTATAATAGGGAGGCTAATTAAATTACTCATATTCAGGAAATAAATTAAACATAACTCCTGTTTTGGAACCTATTTATGTTTTACTCCTATTTATGGTAATAACAATAGTGATGGTGATAGAGTATGGATCTTGATAGAAGTGAAAGCTAGAGAGAAAAAATGCTTGTAATTAATATTTTTCAACCTCCTACAAGTAATCCTAAAGGGAGTATTTATAAATGAAATATGAGTTGAGCTCCAGGTCTTGAGCCTCGTCGATGGAGGCTGATTACATGTATTCATGAAGCTTAAATAAGAACACAAGTTATTGGTGAAACACTGGCCGAGGGAGGGCCTGGTCGATGGGTACCAAAGCATGGGAGACGCCGGTCTTCTGTTCCTGGCACTCTGGGTTGCTTTGTATGGATCGTTATGCCTAGCCGATGGGACCATCCGAGCGCTAGCTGCCTTTGTATTAGCCTTCTGAGTATGTGGGTTATTAGATCTAGATCCATATACTCTATTAGGAGTTCCCTACTCTCTGAGCTGAGATGTGTCGAAGTGAAAGGAAGTAGAATATTCGTGTGTACCAGTTCTGGTTCATTTCATCAATATTGAATATATAAAAATATTAAAAATAATTTAACTTTACAAAATATCTAAATGCTAAATTGTTTTTATTTTTTTAATTTTTATATACTCAATATTGGTGTCGAAAAATAATAAAAAGTTATGAATTTTGATATATCTTTTGTAGCAAATGGAGTACAGATAAAAAAGTTATATCACATCAAAATAAACAAGAGATTTTTTTGGTGTGGCCTGTATGAATTTTAATTGCACACAGAGAAAATTTTCATTATTTATAATTTTAATTTTAAAATTTTAAAAGTAACATTTTGAGTAATTCTTTGTAATACACATACAGTGTGATATATAATGAGTAATAAAAAGCTACTACGCATTACAAATTAGCTTTAGGTACATGTTTTCCAAATATAAAATAATTATAGCAGTTTTTAAATCTTATTTTTAAATTTTTTTTCCAATAATTTTAAAAATACAATTAAGAATTAAATAAATTTTGTCGTGTTTGATTAGAACTCAACAAAGTTCTATACATTATTTATATAAAATTTTCTCAATATCCAAACAAGCTCATAGATTGGGATTATGTTTGGCACTTCGAAATGTAGGCGAAGACTATTGTCTGAATCAAAGACTATTGTGTGAACTAGAGAAACTATTGTCTAGAGCTGAATTTTTAATTTGTTGAACTTTGATATATTTTTCGATATATCTTTTGTAACAATTGGAGTGCAGATAAAAATTAAAAATTATCACATCAAAATAACATGAGAATTTATTTAGGTGCGACCCTTTAATTGAACACGAACAAATTTTCATAATTTGTAATTGTAGTTTTAAAATTTTGAAGTAATATTTTCAGTAACTCTTTGTAATACATATAAGATGCGATATATAATGAGTAATAAAAAGCTACTACGTATTATAAATTAACTTTATGAACATGTTTTTCAAATATAAAACAAGTACATCAGTTTTTTAAATCTTATTTTTCATACTTTTTCCAATAGATTTAAAAATACAATTAAGAGTTATTTTCGACACTTCGAAATGCAGGTGAAGGCTAATATCTGAATATGCTATTGTCTGAACTAGAGAGACTATTGTACAGAGCTGAATTTTGAAATGCTACATCCGAACTTTTAGTTGGATGAGGTAAATCTATTTGGCAAAAAAAGTTAAAAAAATGCTCAGATAATATCACCTGACTAGGTCGGATCATAAAGATCAGACTAGATTCGATTCGACTAGAATAGATAAATCAAACAAAAAAATCAGTCCGATTAAAAACGTTTTTAATGGAGTGCTTCCTAAATTTAGAATTCCATATATATTAAATTAGAATCCAATAAATCTACTTATAATATTCATGAGTAAAATTTGGAGTTAATTAGCTTATTATGGAGTTATATAATCACTATACAAGTAGAAATGAGACAGACATACAAAATTAAATTAGCTTATTATGGAGTTAATCATTCAAATTTTAAAAGTATTCATGTGTAAATTTTTATTGAGATGATGACACATGTTTGGGTACTAAAATGAAAAAAGGGACTTTAAAATTATACAGGAAACCTCTAAAACTAATTCCTTGATAACGATCTAATTGCGAAAAACAAATCTTAAAAAAATTCAAAATCATGAATATGAATTTTATTCATATACGAATTGAAGAAATGAGTTCATTTAACTCTATAAATCAATGCTTCAAAATAAAGGTAAAATGTGTTTAATAGCAAGAGTGCATGCGTTAAAATTTGCTAAATACAAATTTGTCTTAATGATATCTCAAATTTATGCACGATAATTAAAACACAAACAAATTTGCTCCTCATTTTGAAACTGAAAAATCATCACAATGCTCATGATACATCAAGGTAAAAATTAACTTTCACTTTCACAGGATGTAAATAAGTCTAGGTAGATTAAATGACACGAGTAAAATGTTCACCTTTCTATTTATGGAATTTATAATTGGAATCAAAAATTTGATCTCATTTATGAAAGGTAAAGTTACTTTTACTGTAGTGTATATATTAATATAATCTTGATACATTTTGGCCGAGATAGCTAGAGTTTCAGCTCTCAAAAAGTTTTATT